ATTTACAGATTTGATAAAATCATGCAGCTTTTTCAGGCGTTTGCACATGTCCAACACCCAGCTGAGAGCTGCCAACACAAGTTAGTTATCGTTTACAGATATGCCTCGTATACAACCGCATTCACAAACATCAGTTTACGTCCGAGTTTATCATAAGTTGATGTTCAAAGTGATCCGAGGAACACAATCGCCATACACAGTATGGTATGTACCAATTCAACTTAAAAGCACATATACTGAAGACAATATGTGCCAAGCATAGTATGAAGTAGGATGTAAAACTTTAATTGGCAAGGAGTGCACCAGTAATGATGTTCAGTGTTTGGTAAGGAATTGTGGCAAATACAATGGAGGAGATTATGTCCACTACGTCAGTTTAGTTAAATAACGGATAAGTCACCATTTGCGTCATTGGCCCCGGCGTACGTTGCTAGGAGTATAGTGTAGTTCTCAACAATTCAAGTCAGACAAAATTTGATTGATTCGCAGCGTAAATTGAAGGAATTATGAAGTTCTTTACAATGCATAATGTTAATATTCTTTTCTATTTCTCACGTAATCTTTATTAGACTAAAACCATCCCCATTAGAGCTAGTTTAATTTATAAATATGCAATCAGTAAACATATTGGTTGATATATCCAAATGATATTTGTAATCATTCTTTTCTGTAATACTCGAGTGCTTTAAATATTACCTCCCTGGCAATTCCTATCGATAAACAAACATTGAAAGACGATGTGCGAAAGGTCATGAGCGTGAAAATCCTTAGTCAGTTTGCCGTTTTACGCCATAAGTAGGATCATCACACATTTTCTATATGTTAAGATTAAGCGATTTATTTAATCCCAGAAACCTTGCTGTTAATGAGTGAAATGATAAAGATTCAGAAAGTTCACCTAAACCTCTATCAATACTGACATGCGCGATACTGCAGTAAGGATGTTTATTACAATTATCAAAAATGTATTTCGGTGGACATAAAGTAGTATTCATTATCATTAAGATATCACTTTTACTCGTCAATTTCTGGGTTTCGCATATGAATACAGGTTTCAATTAACGTAAAATTTCATTTTAAAGTCACGATTTTTTTAGTTTCACATTTAAGTTGACCATATGTAATTGAACAATCCATTTTGATTTCCAATGTAACTTTCTTTAATTTAAATTCTGCTCATATCTTTGTTTAGAGGGGGATTAATAGCGACGGAAAACATGAACTTTGTTGACATTTGTTTAACTTCTGTAAAATTCGGACAAATGTTAACATTTTTCCATTGACTGAATGTGCTCTTAGTAGTACTCTGGCCTAAGAATTGCAGTATGCGTGCCGTAATTGTCTGAATCTTTCATGTCTGTATATAGATGACATAACGTAGTTGAACATTCCCCTCTGACATCACACACCAGTTTTGTAGGAGAGTTGACGGGCTCATTATTGAATATGTAAACAAATATAACAGCTGACAACAATCCATGAAAAAAAAACAATTTTTATGTTAGTCGTTGAGAAAAGTGGAGCTTTTGGAAATGAAAATTTGTCAATGAAAGTGAGGAATGTCATGTCGAGAAGATAAAATATACATCAAGTCATACAACCTACTTCTAGTTTGTAAGTACTTTTATGACTGTTTTTTTCTTAGACACCGCGGTTTTGAAGTCTTGCCTTGACACTTTAATCAACGTTAAAACTTGCCACGATTGACTGTTTCAGCGGTGCTCTGGCAGTCAGGCCGCCCTCTCAGACAATACCCTATCTATCTAAGACCTTGAGGTGAACATTGGTTTGACCTTCATTATAGATAGTTCAGTACAGTATACTTTCAGAAATCCTTACCATGCAACAATATTTGTCACCGGAACAGTATACTGTCCTACAAACCATGTCCCTATCACCCAAGATAGACATGGAGTTATTGATATTCTAGTCTAGTTATCTGACTATAGCCTGCTATAATTTAGGTGATATGATACTAGGATAACACTTCGTTAGTGAGTAGAGGGAAATGATCCCTATATTGCCGTTAAATAATAACTGGTTATCTCTTTTCCCAATACCCAAAACATTTTTTTGTTTTCACATTAACAAGGATTATAGTTGCAATGGCAGCCCTAGCAACCCTCACTCTGAGATACCATCCTGCCTATACTATGACATTTAATAACCATTTATAATGGCTCATCCCAAGAGCAAAGGTACATATTCAAATCAGATACTAAACCACTACACCTACAATGATTACTGATGGCCCAATCAGAAAATGTCCGCATCACTGTGATTGGAGGCACACCAACTACTGTTACTTTTCGGTCAGCAACTGGTCTGAGTGTAGACACCCTTGACTCATCAGGCCTTATGTGGACCTATATTGGGTTTGTCCCCCAGTTCCATCTGGGTCAAATTACAACTACACAATATTCGCACCCCAAACCCAGGTGAGTATGAAAAGGCAATGTTGAATGACACAAGGGTAAATCTGCAATAACAACAAATTGAAAAGCTAATGACTTTCCAAGTTTACCTAAACTGCATAAAACACCATATAAAGCCAGATTTATAGTGTTTAATCAAAGAACTTTCTAGAATTTTAACATCTGTTTCTTCTAGCATAAAAGATGACATTAAAAATACTGCAATGATATATTTTCTAGGAGTGTTAGTAATCAAATGGAGATAATACACAACTTTTGGAAAAATCTTTCTAATATTTCTGCTTTTCAAAATTATTTTTATTACCATACCACTAGCCGACTTATTTCTCTACTCATAAGAGGCAGACTTTCTTCAACCGAAATCATTTAATAGTTGTTTTTTCTGACTCGTATCTTAATATTCTACTTGAATTTGGCTCTGAGGTTAATACTTCTACTAGATTTTGACAAAACAAGGATTTACCATCATAATTTTTTCATCTTTGTAGTAATATCTCTCTTTCCAAATTTAATTTATAAATTTGCAAGATATTGTTGGGACGGAGACAACACTTGGGAACGATACTCAAGATTGCACCTCATTAGTGATATATACAAGGTTTTTATAAGAATGAATTAAAACACCCAGGTCGCATATAAGGGGGACTCTATTTACATACAGGTGAGATCTTTCTAAAATTTGACGAAGTCAGATGTTCTTTTTACCCAGTATATATTAGTATCGTCAGCAAACATCGGAACATTTGAGTTCTTAACGCATTTAGGTAGGTCGGTAATTTACATACATTATGATTAACAAATCTGTAGTTCATTGTTCTACTTTATCCGTTGATGTGGTCATCTATCTGCTTCCTGTGTCTAACAATAATGGCAGATCCGAATGCATGTAAAGTTGACCCTTTTTCAAATTTGTTCCCTATACATTTCTTGCGTTTATAACGGATATATATTATTTCAGTAAATTTAACAAAATAGTCATGCCTAACCTGCCAATCATTAATTTGCAAAAGACAAATTATAGATACTCAATTAAACAACATATCAAAAATTTACCAAGCTCTAGGTAGAGCAATGCATTTACTTCAACGCCAAGTTCTAATCATTAGTTATTTAATTCCATTTAACTTCTCAAACAACATCAATGAAAGTACAGATGTCTGCTTGTGCTAATAATATATGCCCAGTAATTTCCATTCGTATGCTTAACGCATAAATATATTTCCCTTGTAAACGAATATGTCCATGCTAGGAGTACTATCAGTAACTGTCAACTCCGCCCTGTTTAAGTAATGTAACATAACGACTTACTGCCGGTGAATTTGGCACAAGCTGACAGGTAGGCGGGACAACTGCCATACTGACGTAAGCCAACCGCCATGCACAATTGTAGGCGACATATTGCAAATATATATAGTATTTCATAACGTCCATCACAACTGACAAGTGTATCGTGTGTTGTACTGTGAAGATCAAATCGGAGAAGAAAATCGAAATGAGTTTAATCGCTGACGGCTGAGACGTGTGTGGGGGGGGGGCATCAATTATAATTTGCAGTATTGAAATTCGGACGTGATCAACCCCAAAACATTGTTTCCTTTGTTTTTAATATCTCAATGCAAACAATTTGGCAAGCTCATCACCGGAACTTACATATCAGTCGACAAACATGACACGAACTTTAGAATCAACTACAGTGTGAGTTGGTGGGTTTGTGACACTGCATTGTCATGGTTTTCAAGTTGTCAAGGAGTTTATATCAAGTATAAGAGTTGGTTTATAGTCTTTTCTACTTGTATAAAGCACCCATTGTCACATACAAGCTGTATGAGAACCAAATTAAGTGAAAAGATATAACTCTTTTAACAATGCGATGCTTAGGTTGGAATTTTCAAAAACGAAACAGGAGATTGGTCGCTTTTAATTTATTAAATATGTTTTCCCAGACTAGGCATATCCGTGTAAAATGTGCATTTTTGACCTATCCACACAGACACATAGAAAAAGTAGGGCGTCGCTATAAAAACAGAGGAGGCGTGGTCAAGAGGACGTATATGAATAAGGCGACTTTAGTATACAATTATGCCACTATATTTGATTAAACTGAGCATAAATTAACTAACAATATCATGTTGCATTACGCCATAACAAAATAATAATTTTGTGGGTTAATTTTGTTCCTATGCAGTATGAGGTCACCTTCAAAAGTGAATTGACCCTGATTATATGAGTGAAAAATTCCATATTATAACAATGCCTATTATTATTGCCAGACTTCAATAGTCGTTTGGATTTCATTTAGCGCAAATGTCTATTCACGCACCGGTTATCATGGATATCCTATTGTGCGTGTGTACTAACATCCTGCTGTTGGCCAATTATACTTGACCCAACCAAGTTGTTTTGAATGGACAGTAAAATACCATTCTATTATTTGGAGATTAAACGAAAATTATGATGCATATGTACTGTTTGTTGTTGGCAGGCAACAATCATAAAAATAAACCCATCTTGGCTGATTGGATTGGATTGGATTGTTGTTCATTTTCAGCTCTAACATTTCTCATCCATTTCTACGCAGACAAGACGGTAACGGAATCTCCTGCGACATGGATGTGTCATTTCGCACAACAACTAAGCACATAACTTTTATTTGGATTGTTCTACTGACAATTATGTTATCCAAAGCCGACACAAATGCTGTGAGCGGATCGGGTAAGTATTTCTACAAGTTAGATAACAGCATATAACTTTTAATACTTACATTATTGCTAGGGCAAGACTATAACATACAATAATCAACATATCGCCATCACCACCCAAAGGTTTTCCTCTTCTTAAAATGACGGACATTGTTAAAGATTCTAACGGCGGGGAAAAGAATGCATATTGTCTGATCTAGGTAAATATAACGTAATATGACTTGTGATTTTATTTTCTAATAATGTTACTTATTCTTTACAAAAAGAAAATTAATCAGTGGCCCGCAGACTGTTTAGGGAAAATATATCGATAAATCAAAATAGACAACTTGATATCGCGATTTGTTGCCTTGATTAGTGCATTTTAGAAGAGAAATCCAAAATATAATATTTGGCAATTATTATACTAACCCCTCGTAATTATACATACACGTCTAGTTTTATATTGAAAAGTGTATTTTATAATTTTTACGTCAAGCAACTTTGTGATATTATTTTAAATGATTTAGCTCCTCACTCCATGTTGACGTTTAAAAACAAACACACATAGTTTTAATAGTTTTAGATGATTTTCACGCTTTTTTGCACTGGAAAACTCTTTGTGATTATTGAGTGAGAACAAAGTTCAAAGATCATTTGTTAGTGGTACGTGAAATGCAAATAATCTGACTATGCTATGCCTCTTATTGTGATATATTCAATTGTCTTATTTATAGCTAATATTTTTGTAATTTTTGGCCAAAAATGCTATTTTCGACTTCTTTTTGAAAACCGCTAGTCCAAATGCTTTGATACTTGGTATGTAAGTACCTTGGGTGGACCTCTCTCAGATTTGTTCATTTCTTGATGATATCTTCATTTCTCTAATTTTGATGAATATTTTCGTCATTTGTGGTAAAAAGTGATATTTTCGACTTCTTGTTAAAAACCGCAAGTTCAATTATCGAAATCTCTCTGGAACATTTGTACATCACGGCATACATATTTCTTTTGCCCTCTGTGTTACTGCGTCGGAAGATGGCGTAACTCATACTACTATTATATAATAACTCTGGTGTACATTCATCTGAGTATTATACTGCATGTCACAACCATCATCATAATGTAATGGGATATGACAGTAGTTCCGAAAAGCCACATTGCGCCATCTGCATCATTTTATTAAAGGTACCATGCGCCATCTGACTCGACCAATTAAAGGCACATTGCGTCATATGTATTGCTGCATTATAGTTTTTTTCTGTTATTTTTGCAGATAGTTCGTCCACGTCGGATTTTGATTGTTATTTTTGCAGTACCAGTAGCGACGGAGAAGGCGTTGAGGGAGTGTGTGGTGAAGAAAACTTTTCTGATGGTGATTTATTACGCTATGGTAATTGTGCTGGAGTGTGTACGGTAAGCATGAGTCATTGTCCTGATGGGATATTTTTTACGTATTTGAAAAGTGGAAATAACATACAAAAATATATAAAAGTCACCCAGGGAAATATAAAAAACTGTCAAGTACACAATATAATCAAATCAAATTAATAAAAGAGAAAGATGTTTGGAAAAGAGTGAACACGTCATACTCCACATGCCGTCTGACATGTACGCACTTCATTAATGGCCTGTTCATTTGCTTATGTTTAGTTGTATTCGTTTTTTTTGTATTCATTGATGTTGTTTATTTTAACTTCAGAAAAATGTAATATATGCTGCTGGAACAGATGAAGTGTTGCGGATAAACCGTCTCTGTGAAGGTTCGTGTCCAGGATATTATTCCGGCCACTGTAACGAGGCTTCCCATGGCTTACAGACTTGTACCTACTGTTGTAGCGGCCATCTGTGCAATGCGTCATTTCCTCTACAAGCTTCATTCATAACGTTGATGGCGCTAGTGTTACCTGCGATGATTGTAGCGGCCATGCAATGATAAGGAAAAGATAAATGCATGAAAAGACTTCATGCTTCTTGTCACTTTGTTTTTTGGAAATTGCTCTAAATTATTTTTCATTGTTGTTTAAGTCTTAGATATATGTGCAGGTAATGGGAACACGGCCAAACCATTCCCACACATTGACTAGTATGAATCACCATTAAGACGAGAGTTCCTATCAACTTCCCTATTCATAATTGTATTTAGTCATATTCAAGTTAGCATGTGTATGCTTAACTCAATCTTCTGATTGTTATTGTCATGCATTCGTTATAAGTTTGTTGAAGTTTCTTGCCAGCCTATCAGCAACATAAAACATTTGTGAAGTACATTTATTTTACTCCTTGTATTACAAAAGATGCAACATTGGTAACCTTACGTATTGTTTTAATACTTTTGTTGAATATTCAGTATTTACATTGGAGTATTACTTGTATACATTGTTTGATACAACACAGAAAAGTGTGCGTATATAATTACTGGCGCTTTGGATGTCTGGCGCATATACATTCAAAGTACGTGCGCTTTACCTAGTTCTTTATTTAACCCAACAACTACATATTTACGTCGTGGAAAATTTGTTTAGTTCTCACTACAACTCATGCATAATAATCTATTTATACTAATTATTATGCGTACTATAATGAAGATAATATAATTATAAATTTAATGATTTTCTTCTTAAGCTCAAGCACTTTATTAGAGTAGCCATTGCACTAAAAGTGGTACCACAGTATACGCAAACGTTGTAATATAAACACATTGTTGTTTATATTATAGGTTAATTGCATAATGAACACATAATTATTCACTTGTTAGTTATCACAGGTTTGTATTTATTATAACCGAAACTCGAGTTCGTCCACCAAAGTGGAAACATTAAACATGAATTATTTTTTGTTATTTTTTGATACTGCATGTTGAGGACCAAAACGAATTATGAATGTATTTGTTTTTTGAAAAATGAAAAACACTATTACGCATGTGCAGCGATTGTTATCGCACGTACCAAAACAATCATCGACCAATCACCAATCCCCATTTGTGTGTTACAACAAAGTTTTAATTTGTTGATAAATCATTATCCAAATTATTCATCAACATACGACGTCAATGTGATGTTCTCGTCCACATTGTTGCATCTTTAAATATGTCAATTATTATGTGATTATTTAGAGTACAGTGTGATTCCCACCATGTATATTTACTTTATTTAAAGAGATTCTTTGTAATGATTGATGATTTCATTTGATTGCTATTATCCACATTTCGGAATTGTTATCTTTTGTACTTTGTACTGTGTTTGCGTTTTATGCTATTCGTTTGGCACACAGCATTAGTTGTAATTAAAATATTATTTAGTGGGAAAAATACCTAGGTCATGTCAAACAATGGGTATATTATCCTGTATTTAATATACATATTGTAATGATTATTCGAAACTCCCTTGAGCAATTAACGCCCACTATTAAACTATTACGTTCTGACCCTACTAGTAAACTATTACGTTGTGACCCCATGTAAAATTGGGTTAAGTAGAAATTACTTTCTGTATATATTGTAAATAGAATTTTATCTAATATAATTGTATTTTTGATATCTTAGTAACATAACATGATTTCCCTCAAGTTGTAATGTTGTTGTATTTATTAGTAATTTAAACCAATTGTCATTACCCGACTAGTAGGTCATGTACTGATAACTATTAATTCGGGTTCCGTCGGAGCCATTCTTCAGATATGCACAAAGACAATACATGTTTCACACATATACAATCACGTCAATTTCTTCTTCGATCAAATATGGCTTGCTTTTTTGAACGTGGAAAAGCATAAATTTAATCAACTTGGTATGATGGCAAATATATATATTAGATTGTTTGTGGTGCACTTTGTTATTTTTCAAGATAAATTCAAGATGAACGATTGGTGGTCATCTGCGCCAAAGACCAAACATTTTCTAAACGTAAAAATAGAATTTTTACAAAAACATGCTTGAAGCAAAATTCGTGTTTTAAAAATAACTACAACTGCCGTTATATGGATATATGCATAGTGTTTATCTTTAGGATGGCTTCCATGATAACATCTTAATATGTACAAATGTATACTCTGTTGTCGACGATCCTGACATAACTGGTGATAAGCTTACTGAGAAACGCGCGTACGGTCATAACTTTGCACAACTTGTTTGATTTTCCAAATCAATATTCAATTTTACTAACAC